TGTTTACAATACAACCGGAGCGCATCCCGCTGAGCTGAGGGGCGGGACGTTTAGACTCGCGCTAGAGGCGGTTTAGCCAATCACAACACACTGGGCCAGCTGATCAATCAGAGCCCATCGTGTATTTCTGAGGGAGGGGCTTCATAAAAGCAGGAAATGATCAGCGCGTTCAGAGGAGAAGGGACAGAGCGGTGTGGAATAAAGGTAAATTATGTGAAAAATAATGCGTTTTTTAACAAACGAAGCATTAACACATGTTAGACGGCCCCCCATAAACACAATCAAGCCTATAAAAAAAACAGTCAACCACCCCTTTAAGACTTTCAGAGAGAGAGAAAGGAAAGAGACATTGGACATGAGAGAACTCACCCTGGAAATTATGATTACAAAGTTCTCCACGATCTACTTTGTGATTAATATTCTAATTTAGCAAAGCTCTATAATAACGTCTCTCTACAGCGGCAGGTACGAGTGCTCCAGGCCCCTTCATCTCTCACATTCGAGATTAACTATTGATTAAGTCTTATTTGCTTAAAATTCATTAGAATTGAAAAGAGGACTAATAGAAGATCTGCTCTGCATAGCAAGTCCATTCAAATTCCCAAAATATGCATGATTAACATATTTCAGCACTGTTGGTGTATTATCCATATTAGCATAATAAGTTGTCGTCTCACTATCATGCAGCCACACACATCTTGTGTTCTCACGTAGAATTAAAACGGCTGAAGCATTTGAAGAATTTTTTCAGCAGGATGACAAAAAAGAGAGAATGAAAAGGAAAATATTTGCAATTGCATTGTAAATCAATATATTCAATATACTGTAAGTCACCTCAGACAAAATGTGTATTTTATTTCTTCAGAAAATAAAGTTCAATAATGTTTTTAAAATCAGTTTGTTTTGTAGGATATACTGTATAATGAATGTTTCATTTACTTTTATCAGTGTTTATGAATGTGGCGGGCATTCACATTCAAAAGAGATGGTAAAAACCTTTCAATTTAAGATCGGTTCTGGCACTTTTAACAAAGTTTTGTAAGTCCATTTGCTTCTTATGTCTAGACCAGGCCTATTCAACCAAAATCGAAGCTGAATAGCCCTGTCTAGACTCTGGTTAATCATATTTAGAATAGCATACTGAAACTCACACCATTTTTACAGTAGGCAGTACGCAAATTTTCTGTGTGCATGAAATATCAAGATGAGCTACTTCGTTGGCAAAAATGTGCAGTATCCTGTATAAGCAGAGCACACTGCTCTGAGTACTGCAACACCTAAATGAAATAATGAACCTGTCTTTCTTTACTTTATTGTTTGCTTGGACCAGCAAAATAAATAACTACATTTACTAAATCTGAATTAATAAGCAATGCATTGTAGCCTACACAGTACTATTGTTTAAAACATTTATCGTAGGCAACATGCAGTAATGTGCAGTAAGCAGTATATTAATATTCTAAGCAAAGACATTGTGATAGAGAGATAAAGGTAAGCCCAGAAGCAGCACATACAGGGGGAACACAGAGGGTTGGCAGTGTAGAAGTTTGGAAACAGCATCCCCTGAGCAGCCATCAGATCTAAGTTTGGAGTTTCCTTGGAGGGCTCCCCAAATGCTCCCAAATCACCCCAGCCCATCTGCAGACAGAAACAGAGAATATGTCGTGAGCATGCTTCTAATTTATGGTGGAAAAACAATCATATCAATCCAAGTGAATTAAATGTATTTATGGAAGTAAATTATATCTTAACAGACTGACAGACAGAGATAGAGAGAGATGTACTTTAGTTTATAGATATGCAAAATTTAACAATAGCCCTTATCGGTATTGGATATCCATGCCAATTATTAAAGGGGTCATATGATGCTATTTTAAAGATCATTATTTTGTGTATTTGGTGTAACAGAATATGTTGACATGCTTTAATGTTCAAAAAACACATTATTTTTCAAATACTGTACATTATTGTAGGTTCACTATGCCCCGCCTCTCTCAAACATGTCGTTTTCAACAAAGCCCCCTCCTTCCGACAAGCGCAGTCTGCTCTGATTGGCCAACTGACCCAGTGCATTGTGATTGGCCAATCAGAGCAGACTGCTCTGATTGGCCAGCTGACCCAATGCATTGTGATTGGCCGAACACCGCAAGCACGCGTCGGAAATGTAACGCCCCTTTCCATAAT